ATGGATGGATGGATGGATGGATGGATGGATGGATGGATGTTTCAAGGAAATAAAGCATTGATGTTGGAGTTACAGTCTGCCAAGGCTCACAGATAAAAGTGCTGATTATGCTGATTAAATGATTGATTAATCAGTTTGATGAAAGTAAATTTGATGAACAGGTAAGTTTACAGTCTACAGAAGACATGGTGTCACTGTAGTATGCACTATAGAAAAGGACAAGCATGTGAAGCTTTGAACAATGCTTGGGTCCCACCCATTAATGATACTTTTACGTGTCCCATATACCTGAACAATAGTTGCTTTTTAAGCCAAACAGGCCTAATGACTCTCTTGGAGTTATAAGGGCTGTTAGTACCACTATGGAGCATTTACTCTTGTTTGTTTCTGTACTGCCARTGAATGTTGTGATGGTGTCACACTTGGCTGACAGTCATCTGCAGGTGGACCATCATATCTTTGACATAATTACAACATGTTGACAATCTGTAAAAGTAAAAAATTTTCTGCTTTAGCAATGTGAATGTGATCACTGCAGGAAATATTCTGCACAATCAAAAACATGCAATTGCAATATTATCGTTCAATATTGCATTGACTATATCAGCTCTAATAAGCTTACATTTTTCTCGCTTTCTCTCTTTTTCTTGTCATCATGGTATCAATGACTCTGTTCTGCATTTTGGCTGTGGACATTTAAAACACTGGAGGTCCATCTAATTACCAAATATATTATTGGCCTGAATGCAGATTTTGTCTGTGATTTATGGCAGTCCTACGCACATCACACACATTACTATTTCAACAATGATACATTTCTAAAGGGCAGTTATAATAAGACTTTTTTTCTTCTCCTGCTACCTTTCATTTAATTTATGATTTGTATTTTTATTTTATATTGAATTTATGTTGTTTTTAAAGAAATGAATAAACTTAAATAAAAAAATTCTAATAAATTGTGCAGACTTACCTTAGCTGATAGTACATTTATTTATGTACAAATCACATAACATCATTTGATAGTTCCTACTGAGCTAAGCAAGCTTTAACTCTGTTTCCTCTCAGCTGGAAAGGGCAGAGGTGAGGCTGGAGGGCATCGACACCATGCTGAAGTTGGCCTCTAAACACTTCCTGCTGCCGTCTGTGCAGTACGCTATGCTCTGCGGCTGGCAGCGGGTCATACCTGAAGGGACCAACATTGGGTAGGTCATTAGGGTCTTGGAATGTGCTATGAATTGCAATAAATTATATTTAATTAAAATAACGCTGTAGGCGTCATGTGAACAGTCAGAAGCTAGCAAAAAGCCATAGTAATGATGCAACGTTAGGATTTATTGTAGCTGTAGTTTGTTACTGAGGTATTAAACCTTGGAATGTATCTTTTCTTCTCAGAGAACCCTTGTCTGACTGCCTGAAAGATGTAGATCTGATCCCTCCCTTCAATCGAATGCTTTTGGAGGTGACATTTGGGAAACTGTACTCCTGGTCTATCCAGAATGTTCGCAACATCCTGCTTGAGGCCAGCGCTCGGTTCAAAGAGCTAGGTGAGTTGTAGGAAGATGTTCTCCTCTTGCCCTGTTCAAGTTAAATGTTTTCAATAAGTAATTAAGACTCTTTGCCCGTGTTTTAAACCAGGTGTGCAGCCTGTCCCCTTACAGACCATCACCAATGAGAACCCAGCAGGACCAAGTCTTGGCACCATTCCACAGGCCCGCTTCCTTCTGTCTATGATACATATGCTGTCCCTGAAACATGGGTCAAACAGCCTGAGCCTCCTGCTAAATTCTGGCCTTTTGGCCCTCACACAGAGTATTCTGAAGCTCATAGGTAAGTTCTGTCCCCTCACACACATACAGGCTCAGAACAGAGTCCAGGGAGGTTCTGTTCTGTGTCATGGACAGTGTTGCGTGTAAAAGTACAAATATCTTACCAAAGAATTACTTTGGTCAATGTTAAACTCTCCTTTAGGAATATTACTTGAGTAAAAGTCTTAAAGTATCTGATATTTTTTGTACTTAGGTATTAAAAGTAAAAGTATTGATTTAAGCAGTTAGATTTTCTGTAAGGACATTTATTAGGAGGTGACCTCCCCAAAAATGCAGAAATGACTGTTGTACTAAAATTATTAATTTATGTTAAATTTAGGATGCACTAGTCTAGCTGTTTCAGTTTATATACATATATCAAGGCTGCCCAAAAATTTTCTCCAAAATGAAAATCTATCTGAGGGCTGCGGCCAAATGCAACACTATATTTCATGAAATACAAATACTTATTAAGTACACTCCTTTTATTTTAATGGTTATGTCCTGCTGGAGTGTGACATGATTTGTTTGTGTACAAACTAATACGGTATCAGAATTTTGTATATTTATATTTCCCTTTCAACCACAATTAAATTCACTCTATCTAGGAGGCACAATTTATATGGATAGTATTTATTTTTTACAATAACAGAAATAACAGGAACAAGAAAATTTTAAATAAAAGTAACAACTTTCTACTTCTTGCATTTTTAAATAATGTAAGGAGTAGAAGTAAAATGTAGGCTGAAAAATAATTACTCAAGTAAAGTACAGATACCCCAAAATTCTACTTAAGTACAGTAACAAAGTATTTGTACTTAGTTAGTTTACACCACTGGTCATGGATGGCTCTTTCATGCAGGACCCAGCACTGACAGCAGTGAGGAGGACCTCAGTTCATGTGCACATGGAGGCTCAGCCACAGTCCTGGAAGAGTCCCGAAAAGAGGCGGCCCCTGCTCCCTTACCTGCCTCTGGCCCAGAACTGGCGGCCATGATGAAGATTGGCACCAGGGTGATGAGGGGCGTTGACTGGAAATGGGGTGATCAGGTACCTGAATCAGGTTTATTCTGGCAGTTTTTGAATGTTTTGTTCCGAAGCACCTAGACTTAAGGATCTGATTTTGTTTGCATCCCAGGATGGTCCAGCACCAGGTCTGGGCCGAGTCATCGGAGAGCTGGGTGAGGATGGATGGATCAGAGTTCAGTGGGACACGAGCAGCACCAACTCGTACAGGATGGGCAAAGAGGGCAAATACGACCTGAAACTGGCGGAGCCGCCTCCAGCTGCCCAGCCCACAGCTGAGGACTCAGACACCGAGGACGACACAGGTTTATTTCCTCTGCAGCTCCACAAGTCACTGCCCAAGAGGCTAAATGAAAAGCTTCATCATTTCCTCTGTTGGTTTTGTTTTAAAGAAGGTGAGMTGATTGAGAAAAGCAGCCACCCAACAGCAATGATGCTGACCAGCACAGTCAACTTGTTGAAGAGCCTCTCTCTGTCTGCTGGGATCTACGCTGAGGTTCTGCAAACAGATGCTTTACGCACTCTGTGTGGACTACTCAGGATGCTTGTGGAAAGTGGAGTGAACGACAAGTCCAGTAATTAAACCCCTGTTAATTTAAAGTCTGATTTATTTATTTATTTATTTTGCCAGAGATGATATTGGTCATCATTTTAACTTGACCTCTTTGTTTGTCAGGCTGTCACTCCCATAGGTTGGTGTCTCGGGAGCAGCACAGGAGCTGGTGCACTCTGGGCTTCATTCGCAGCATTGCTCTTTTGCCACAGATTTGCAGCACCCTCAGCACCTCTGCTTGGATTGGCCTGCTCCTCCGGATAGTAGAGGGACACCAGTCCTTCAACGCCATCACTCTGCAGAGACAGGTAGAAAACATCTGAAGTCTTTTAGCTAAGTTTTAATGTGTGTATTCTATGTGCTGTTTTATTTTTACATTTTTCATTTTGGTGTGTGCTGTTAAATTTTAATTTTGCTTGTTTTCATTGTGAAGCATTTAGTGATTTTTCTATCTATGAAAGGGGCTGTGTAGATACAGTTTACTTACTTTTTACTTTCATGCAAGATCTTTGAGATGCCTTAAAATTAGTTACAATCAAAGTCAAAGTCAGCTTTATTGTCGATTCTTCACATGAACCATACATGCAAGGGAATCTAAATAACATTTCTTACTATCTCTCGGTGATGACAACTGTACGGTTCCATACTTTTGACTCTTGAATCAAAAGTCATAGGGCATCATTTTATTTCAGAAACAAAAGGGAAAATTAAAAATCTGAATACCCCAGCAAGTAATGGACGAGTGGACCTGTCTTTTAGGTTATCTCCAGAACATGACCACCATCTTGAAAACTGCCATATTGGATCTAGGTCAAGTTTTTCCACTGGACAGGTGGTCATAGAGCTTATCAAAAAAGACCAGAAATTTCTCAGAAATCGATGTGCAATATTTCTTGTGGTTCAAAAGTTAACACAGAAAGTTGCAACATTAGGTAAAATTGCATGTGATGCACAACTGATGGACGTGTTCAGGGCGCTATCCATGGTGCTGAACACTGAAGCTGCAGGATGCAGTCGTTACGAATCTCTGAAGAAATGCCATCACAAGCCTCCACGATGCGATACTGAAGGTGGTGTTTGTTGCACAATTTTTTTGTTGACCCCTGAGATAAAAGTCAAGTGCTGTGAGGTCGGGTGATCTGAGCTGTTATTCACACAAGAAATATTACTCATCTGATTGCAGCAATCCATTCCTGATACAATTCTGGCCTCTGTCGATGTGCTACATGATTGCCTTCCCATTGGAAATTTGGACTTTGATCCACTATGGCAGCCTTCAAGAAGGCGGTCATGTTCTGAACTTAACTTAAAAAATTGGTCCCCTCACCCATTACTTGCTGGGGTATTCAGATATTTCATTGACCCTTTTGTTTCTGAAATAAAAAGGTGTCCTGTGACTTTTGACTCACCCTGTAGTAACATAAATGTTTGTGTGAGACATCTCAAAAAACTCAGACTGCAGAACATTGGGACAAGTGAAGTTTATTATGTTCCTACACCCACTAGGACTGAGGAGGTGTCATTTTACTGCACTGGTGTTGTGTTGCCACCAGAGCATGTCATAAAAACCTTCATTAGAGACATGCATGGATTGTTGTAACAGATTCTGGTGAGGTCTCATCCTGTGTCTTGTGCACCCTGTGTGTTTCCAGATCCTGGCACTGCGCCTCCTGCAGGCAGTCCTGCCTTCGTGGGACAAGACTGAGCGTTCTCAGGACATGAAGTTCCTGGTGGAGAAGTTGTTCAGCTTCTTGGGAAGCCTGCTCAGCACCTGCTCATCAGATCTGCCACTTCTCCGAGGTGCTGGCACAGATCAGGCTTTCAGAAGAAAGTCCCGCAGCTTCACGGTGGCGTGTGTTTTTTAAATGTGCGATTGTTTCTGCAGAAGGTTCCATGAGAAGGAGGAAGTCCCGCCCACAGGCGTCTCTGACAGCCACTCACAGCAGCACGCTGGCAGAAGAGATAGTTGCTGTCCTGCGCACTCTACACTCCCTCACTCAGTGGAACAGTCTAATAAACGATTACATCAACGCTCAGCTCAGCTCCATTGGCGACATTATGACTGGCTGCCAGTCTGAGGCTGTAAGATTTACTGCTCTCTCGTAGTTTCAGTTCAAGTGTCAGAAGATGTTACCTCAGAATAATGTTTTCACTCTGACTTTATGGATGAAATCAGGAATAAAAACCGTTTGCCTTTATTTCAGTGCATCTTGGAGGAATATTTTCCTGACTCAGAGGGCCCCAGAGTCTGCAGCTTGATGGCAGTCCTGGCAGTGATTGGTGGGATTGATGGGCGCCTCAGGCTGGGGGGGCAGGTTGTCCACGAGGAGTACGGAGAAGGAACGGTCACACGCATCACACCAAAAGGACGCATCACCGTCCAGTTCTACGAAATGAGGACCTGCAGGGTTTGCTTGCTCAGCCACCTCAAACCGGTAAAAGAATGTTTCGAATTTCACAAGTGTAACCAATGGTGGGCACAGTTCCACTAAAACACTAATAGGGGACTAATTTCCTGATTAGTTCTTTAGGGCTTTTGCTAATTTTAACATTTATTAGTGGATTAACACTTGCTAAATTTATAGATTTTATTCATTTTTGTGGTGCAAAATAAGCATCTACACATACAGGTGCTGGTCATAAAATTAGAATATCATGAAAAAGTAGATTTATTTCAGTAATTCCATTTAAAAAGTGAAACTTGTATATTATATTCATACATTACATACAAACTCATATATTTCAAATGTTTATTTCGTTTAATTTTGATGATTACAAATGACAACAAATGAAAATCTCAAATTCAACATATCAGAAAATTAGAATATTACTGAAGACCAATAAAAACAAAGGATTTATAGAAATGTTGGCCAACTGAAAAGTATGAACATGAAAAGTATGAGCATGTACAGCACTCAGTATTTAGTTGGGGCTCCTTTGGCCTGTATTACTGCAGCAATGCGGCGTGGCATGGAGTCGATCAGTCTGTGGCACTGCTCAGGTGTTATGATAGCCCAGGTTGCTCTAATAGTGGCTTTTAGCTCTTCTGAATTGTTGGGTCTGGTGTATTGCATCTTCTTCTTCACAATACCCCATAGATTTTCTATGGGGTTAAGGTCAGGAGAGTTTGCTGGCCAATTAAGAACAGGGATACCATGGTCCTTCAACCAGGTACTGGTAGCTTTGGCACTGTGTGCAGGTGCCAAGTCCTGTTGGAAAATGAAATCTGCATCTCCAAAAAGTTGGTCAGCASCAGGAAGMATGAAGTGCTCTAAAACTTCCTGGTATGTGGCTGCGTTGACCCTGGACCTCAGAAAACACAATGGACCAACACCAGCAGATGACATGGCACCCCAAACCATCACTGACTGTGGAAACTTTATACTGGACTTCAAGCAACGTGGATGAAGTGCCTTTCTTCTTTTCCTCCAGACTCTGGGACCTTGATTTCCAAAGGAAATGCAAAATTTACTTTCATCAGAGAACATGACTTTGGACCACTCACCAGCAGTCCAGTCCTGTTTCTCTGTAGCCCAGGCAAGACGCTTCTGACGCTGTCTGTGGTTCAAGAGTGGCTTGACACAAGGAATGCGACAGCAGAAACCCATRTCTTTCAWACGTCTGTGTGTGGTGGTTCTTGAAGCACTCACTCCAGCTGCAGTCCACTCTTTGTGAATCTCCCCCACATTTTTGAATGGGTTTTGTTTCACAATCCTCTCCAGGGTGCGRTTATCTCTCTTGCTTGTACATTTTTTTCGACCACATCTTTTCCTTCCCTTCGCCTCTCTATTAATGTGCTTGGACACAGAGCTCTGTGAACAGCCAGCCTCTTTAGCGATGACCTTTTGTGTCTTGCCCTCCTTGTGCAAGGTGTCGATGGTCGTCTTTTGGACAACTGTCAAGTCAACAGTCTTCCCCATGATTGTKTAGCCTATAGAACTAGACTGAAAGACCATTTAAAGGCCTTTGCAGRTGGTTTGAGTTAATTAGCTGATTAGAGTGTGGTACCAGGTGCCATCCATTTTGAACCTTTTCACAAGATTCTAATTTTCTGATATGCTGAATTTGAGATTTTCATTTGTTGTCATTTGTAATCATCAAAATTAAACGAAATAAACATTTGAAATATATGAGTTTGTATGTAATGTATGAATATAATATACAAGTTTCACTTTTTAAATGGAATTACTGAAATAAATCTACTTTTTCATGATATTCTAATTTTATGACCAGCACCTGTAGGCTAAATTTAGAAGCACTAACTATAAATGTTATTAATCAATGTTAATGTTAACAGCTGAGGGTGAAAGCTGTCACACATTTTGTTCTTGTGTGTCTCTGATCCACCGGGTGACAATATATGAACTCAAATACAGCTGTGGAATGTTAATGACAAGTCTTAAGAGATCAACATGGCAACATGTGACTCATGTTTTCTGTTGAAGAATGTTCAATTCAGGTTTAGATTCAGATTCAGACAAGTTTATCCTCAAGGGCAATTCAGTTCAGCAGTTTCCAGGTTCACACAGTTTCTCACATTTTAGTGCTTTAGAATTYGGGGACCTAAATATTTGAGTTAGTGTTTTAGAGCTAGTGGAACTCATTTTTAGATTAGTGCTGCCCACCACTACGTGTAACTTTCAAACCATTACTACGTCATGGTCAAAATGATTTTGTTGTTTTGTTTCTCCTTAGCTGCCAGGCGTCTCCTTCAGTGTGCAGAACCTGCCTCTCAATGAGCCCATGTTAGCAGTTTGGGCTCAGTTGGTCAACTTGGCTGGAAGCAAATTGGAGAAACAACGTATGAAGAAGTCTCTCAGCCGAGGGCTCACAGGTGGAGAACATGACGTTATTGTTTCTGAATTGGTCTTTCATGTTATGAAAGATTTGTGACTCTACTAAACACACTGTGTGCATGTGTTTAGCTGACCAGGTGGACATCCATTTGCTGCGGTGTCAGCAGCTCAGGCTTTACGTTCTGAAGGCAGGACGGGCGCTGTTGTCTCATCAGGACAAACTCAGGCAGATCCTTTCCCAGCCCGCAGTTGTAGACATCGGACCCAACCCCAGCGGTAAGACCTCAGGTTTAAGCCTTTTAACCCATTTAGAGTTTATCATAACTGAGTTCTTTTTTGTTTGTTTTAAATATTCACTATTATTACAAACAAGTGCTTAGTTAGTAGAAAATGTTGAATTTTACCAATAAATACAAGTTTTATTTAAAAAAACGCTGCAGCATTTGTGGATTAATTTAAAGCATCTTATAGAGGTATTTAGATGAAATGTAGCTGGATGTGTGCTGTGTTGCTGAATAGAGATCAAACCATGAAGGCTTTGTTCAACAGTAAAAATAAAACTGTTTGAACTGTTCCTTTGACTTTGTGTAGATGATCTGGTGGTGTCTTCTCCTGATGTTGGAGACTTGTCTCCCGAGGGTCCACTGCCCCCCTTGATCCTCCTGCAGCAGCTACTGTGTGCTGCCACTCAGCCCTCCCCCATCAAAGCTATTTTTGACAGGCAGGAGATGGAGGTAAACGAGCAGATCTTCACACAAAAAGCTGGTTTGACGTCATTGTCAGCAGGAAAGCTGCACTCGACCGATGCGTTGCGTTAGTTTGATCTGTGTGTGTGTGTGTGTGTTTGTATAGGCGGCAGCCCTGGCAGTGTGTCAGTACCTGGCTGTGGAATCGGCCCACCCGTCCTCTCCACTGTTTGAGGAAAGCAGCTCCAGTGAGGCCACCACGCCTGTCACCATCCAACATGTCAAACCGCCCAAACAGAAGAAACAGAAGACCTCCCCTGTACCTCCGTTACCCATCGTCCTCCAGCTTATGGAAATGGGCTTCCCAAGGAAGAACATTGAATTTGCTTTGAAGTCTCTGTCTGGTACTACAGGCAGTGCCTCTGGTGTCCCAGGTATATGTTCATGTGACAAACTCATATTTTTCTATGAAATATCCACCTGGAGAATAACAGAGCTTCTACTTYAGGGGTTGAAGCTTTGGTGAGCTGGCTGCTCGACCACCCAGACGTTCACTTCACGGAGCTGTCAGACGCTGACACCGTGTCTGATGAATACTCAGACGAGGAGGTGCTGGAGGAGCTGGAGGAGGCAGAGCCAGCATTCTCTGTGGTACGTTGCTTTTCCTATTATTTAAATCTGTTCTGTTAGACTTTCAGATTATTTTCATAATGTGATTTATTAATAAATATATTTGCTACCTGCTCTGTGTGCCACATTATAGCCTCCAGGAGCTGTGGTGACTGAAAGTCAGACATATAAGAAGAGATCTGATTTTCAAAGCAACGATGATTATGCTGTTTATGTGAGAGAGAACATTCAGGTAAATCACCTGCCTTTAAACAAGATCTATAACCTCATTAAGATGTTACATGAGATGACTGAACTGTAATGCGTTCCCTACAGGTGGGAATGATGGTGAAGTGCTGCAGAACGTATGAGGAAGTGTATGATGGGGATGTCGGGAAAGTGATTAAACTGGACAGAGATGGACTTCATGACTTGAACGTGCAGTGTGACTGGCAGCAGAAAGGAGGAACATACTGGGTTCGCTACATCCACATTGAGCTCATTGGTAGGTCCTTTTTATTCAGAGTAGACCAGGGTTCGACAAGATTTTTTTTTTACCTGCCCTATCGGGCAGGTGTTGCCAAATGTTACCTGCCCAACATGAAAGATTACCTGCCCGAAACAAAAATGTTCAAATGTAAATATGAGAAAAACATGTACTGTACTTTGTACTACAAAAATAGTAACATGGTTATACAGAGGTRCAWAATATAYGACATCTGATTAAATAGATGCAAACATTTTAGACTGAGTCACTCACAGTCAGTCAATTGTTTTATCAAAAACATCTTCAAAAACTTTTTTAGACCTTTCCACTGTTCACCCAGAGTATTGACCATGGGAGGGCTGCTAATCGAAACAGAATGATCAACTGCTGAAAAGTTATTAGTATTTATTAATAGGTAGTGCAGCTTTTTTTAAAAATACAATTTACAGAACATGAAAGTCTGTAATTTGCATTAATTGAATCTTATATAGCCTATCTCATTTCTAAAAATACATTTAAGATATCTTGAACTGGAGTCTCCATACAACCTAATGATAAATCTGATGTTGTTTATACTAGTCAGGATGTAATTAGAGATATCTCAAACAGGTATTTTGCCTTGTCAAAATATATTTAAAGAATATTTTTATTGGTTTGTTTTTTGTTTCTTAAATTCATAAAAACATGTACAAACATATGTACAGCATAAAAATACAAAGTAAATCCTACCCTGAATAAAAAAGGTGTAGAGTAAAGAAAAAAACTCTGTCATATCTGCCCCTTATTTTCAAAAAACAACTTCAACAAACAAGTTTAAGCTGGAAAGATCTCCAAATCAAACAAAAAAATATACATCATTTTATTATTTTATCTTAAATAACTAAAATGTATAGTCTATTCATAACACATTTTCAGATATCTGGAATGTAAGTGTGTTTAAGCCAAATAAATGTAACATCGGCCTGCCATACAGTGAGCGTCCGCCTGTTGCTGAAATGATCAGCGGCTGCTCTGCTGCACTCTGAGCAAAAGCCAACATTTGCAAGATGGATTTATGACTGAACGAACATCCACATTTTCTTTTTGCCTCTGCTTGTAACAATACACAAAAAGCTATTTTTTCCTCTGACAACTTGGGTGTGAAAAAACTACAATTGTTAAMGCTTCTTTCTGCGCAACGTGCGGAGGTGGGAGGAAATGATCTCGTGACACACTACTTTCTACAGCGGGATGGGGAGATTTTGAGGATTTATTCTCTCTATACGTGTTTTAAAASGCTATATTTCTTCATTTATTTTCAGAATAGTTCAAATAAATGGCCCTATAAAAATGTTTACCTGCCTATTCAGGCGGGCGCTCGGGCAATGGGATTTGTCGAACCCTGGAGTAGACGTTGGGAATAATACCAAGAAGTAAGAAAAAGGTAGAAACCTGTGCTCTCTCATGTTTCTTTCTCAGGATTCCCACCGCAGAGTTCTCCTTCTCACATAAAGATTGGTGACAAAGTGAGGGTAAAGCTCACAGTCACAACACCAAAGTACAAGTGGGGCTCAGTCACACACAGGAGTGTTGGAGTAGTGAAAGGTAAGCCCAGATAAAAAGTTGACCTGAGTAGTATATTATTCATGACTTGATTTTATTGCATTTTTTWAAATCATATTTTCTGTTTACTATATCAAGCTTTCAGTGCCAATGGGAAGGATGTGATTGTGGACTTCCCCCAGCAGTCCCACTGGACGGGTTTGTTGTCTGARATGGAACTGGTACCCAGTGTTCATCCAGGAGTTAGGTATAACCTGCTGAAGATTCCTCGTCYCCACAGTCATCTAAACTTGTACAATTTAGACATCATGTTGTTTTTGATTCCATTTTGGATATCACTGTGTGTAAGGTTATGTTCACACTGATTTCTATATGACAGTCAAAACATGACAAATCCCTTTTTTTTTTTCAAATCTGTCACAGTCCTTTTCAGTAAGTAATATTAAATCTGACACATATCTGATGTTTTTCAAAGTGACCTCAGTTTGAACAATAATGTCTCATTTCATCTGACTTTTACTTCAGTGAGGTGGGGGTGATCAGATCGATCCAAGCATTTAGAATTATGTTGATACCCACCTGGTGCTGTTTAAATCATGTAACTTCGCACATCATCAGCTGCAGATCAGAAGTCCAGTTGCTTCRTCTTTGTTCTTAATTTTCCGTGTCCTGGATGACTGAGACTCCACACAAACACATGATGGTAACGTCGGTCTCGGACAGTATTGATACTAAAGTTACCCAATCAATATTTTACTTTTAGCAGGTCACTTCATTCCAAAAAAGAACCCCCTTGCGGTGATGTTTACCGCAGTGGAAGTGTGTAGGAGCAGATAAAGATATATATTTGTGAGTGGGTATTTGGTCACATGGGTAAATAGCGGTACATATGGCATTCCACCTAGAAGGGAGGGAAACAGGTTTTGACCGCTGACGAAATTAGATGCTTTTAACAAGTTGTATGCCTTGTTAAACATGTTTGGTTTCAAGTAAACACAGAGGAAAACAAGAGAAAATAAATTGATGACCTGCACAACAAGCAGCGGCGGCTCTGATTTTAATTCACCTGACAAGGTAACGATCAGTGCGTCAACACTACCCCAGTTTATCACCTCAAAGCACTGGCTTGGCCTTTTCAGAGGGGTTTCCCAGGAGCTTAGCTCAGTGCGTCTGGGGCTATGAAAGGTGTGTGCGAAAGTGAACAACCACATAACGGTGTGTTGATTGTTCAGCTTCGCGTGGAGTCTACCGGGCCCTTACTTGATGCGGGGACTGAAACACCCCACCTCTGTAGCAGCTTTGTACCTCTGAGCAAGGTAGTAACAGACACAGTACTGTCCACTTCTGGAAAGGTGTCTGGTTTATCTCCAACTGATTAAAATAATGTGATGAAGTGTTGACTGACAGCTTCAGGGACCACACATCCACAAAACACCATAGCTGTACTCCTTTCTGTTTTATATTTATTTATTTTTTGGGACCCCTAAGCTCCTTGATCTGTGTGTAGAGGAACTAAATAAAAACTTTGTCATCACAAAGGCCATTCATTACCTTTAGCATTTGTCTTAGAAGAGGTTATCTTACAATTAGTGACTGTATTAAGTTTGATGTCTAAATATGGCAGCATCAATCTTGTACAATCACTGACATCATCAGAGTGACTTTTCTGCAGGTCCTCTGTTATTAAACTGGAAAACGTCTTGTTGTTCACAGGTGTGATGGCTGTCAGATGTTTCCTATTAATGGCCCAAGATTCAAGTGCAAAAACTGTGATGATTTTGACTTCTGTGAAAACTGCTTCAAGACACGCAAACACAACACCCGGCACTCCTTTGGTCGAATCAACGAGCCGGGTCAGTCCCACATTCACTGCAACAGAGTGAGTTGTTCCTGTGGGAGTGTTTCACGTGGATGTCAACCTGTCGTTCACCTTCTCTACTATCAGGCCAGTCTCCAGCTTTCTGCGGGCGTTCAGGCAAGCAGCTTAAGAAGCACCACAACAGCCAACGTGGGATGCTGATCGACGACTGGTCTCGAGCTGTGAAGAGCCTGAACGTGTCGTCTGCCGTTACCCTGGCATCCCGCCTCATTGACAGCAGTGATCAGTGTTGGCAGTCCTCGGGCTCACAGGGAAAGGTAGAGAATATTATTGCAGTGTTTTTGTTTTTGGTTGTGTAGGTTTAAGTGTAATACATGAACTGATGGGTCTTACTGTGGTTTTCTTGGCAGCACTGGATTCGTCTGGAGCTTTTCCCAGACGTTCTTGTGCACAGGCTGAAAATGATTGTTGACCCGTCGGACAGCAGCTACATGCCCTCACTCGTTGTAGTATCAGGTGAGACAGGCTGAGCGTACTGTTATATACATTTATGTACATTTGTACAACTCCAAAACTAAAACATGGTTTGAGATGGTACACAAATTAAAAAAACAAATTTATTTTTAGTTTTATATGACTTCTTCTTTATCCAAATAATAGHGTGAATGCTTCACAGCTTTCACACTATTGAGATAATTTTTTTTCTTCCATACATTTTATTTCAACAATTCATAAATCAAAACGTTCGGTTCATTTATATGACTTCTTCTTTATCCAAATAATAGTGTGAATGCTTCACAGCTTTCACACTATTGAGATCATTTTTTTATTCCATACATTTTTTTGACTGTATCTTCTTCTGCTATTTTAACATTTTATATATCAAAACGTTCAGCTCCTTCAGGATATTCCCGCTATGACTTTTGGTATTTCAGCTCTTTATACTTTTTTAGCTATTTCACCTTTTCAGCCACATTTTTGCCATTGAAAATGAATGCAGCAGTTTTCAACATCCCGAGAATCCTTCAAAAATGTTTATAAATTTTTACAGCACCTTACACCTTTAGCACCTGCAGTTTTTAACTTCCTTGTGCTAATTTTAGCTTCTTTGTGCTAATTTTAGCTTTTTCTGCTTTTTCAGCTATTATTCTGCTTCTTTCTGCCATTCTTTTGCTATTTTCTACTTTTATGTGTTGCTTTCTGCTRTATTCAGCTATTTGATGCAATTTTAGCTAATGTTCAGCTGTTCTTAGCTAAAGTTAACCTTTTAAGCTAAATACATATTTTATTGTAGCTATTACAACTTATTTATGCTAAGTTTAGCTAACTTGTTCTCCTTGTGCTTCCTTATGTTAAATCAAGAATTTCTACATTTTAGCTGTTGTACTGCAAATTTCAGCTGTTTTAGCAATTTTACAACAAAGTAGCACTTTTTTGTACTTTTATGCTTTGTGTCTGCTAATTCTAAACCTTTTACAAAACTTTCAACATCTGGGTACTAATTTCAACTTGTCGCTGCTACCTTTAGCTTATTTTTATGCTAATTTTATCTTTTCTGCTATTTCAGCTATATTTCTGTTCGTTTTTGCAATTCTTCTGCTAATTTCAGCTTTTCAAATTGAACTTGCATTAATTGTTTTGCTATTAATCATTTTCAGCTGATTTCAGCAGCTTTCAACAAGAAGCATTCACACTTGCATTTTTGCAAGAAATGCAATTTCTCTAGTTACATTTAACTTTTTAAGAGTTGTAAACACAATTTTYTCTGTATTTTTTTAGTAACAAAATGTTTTTTATTATCTTAATACAGGTGGAAGCTCTTTGAACAACCTAATTGAGCTGAAGACCGTTACCATCAATCCTACAGACACTACAGTCCTCCTCCTTACTGATTGCACCGAGGTTGGTAAATCAGGATATTAGCTTGTAATTATTAGCTAATATTGTGCTGATGAATAATTTCATTCATGTYTTCACTTTCAGTTTCACAGATACATTGAGATTGCAATCAAGCAGTGCCGCAGCTCCGGTATAGACTGCAAGATTCACGAACTCCGTGTTGTGGGCCGCATCAGAGCGGAGGATGAAGATCTGGCCACTGTTCCTTTCTTAGCATCTGACAATGAGGAAGATGATGATGAGAAAACTACAACTGGGAGGTAAGACAACTGTATATGTTCTAAAATATCCAGAATTACATCCTTTTTTTAACGTCTTTGATTTATTTCCTGAATGAAGAATATTCTGACACACTAACTGATCTTAAATGGTAACAGATTGAAAGGATGTATAGTTGTTTCCAAGTGTTTTGATTGTGTTATTATTATTATTATTATTATTATTATTATTTCAGTCTCGCTCGTAAGAAGTCACCAGGATTGGAATCAGCAGCTGCCATCAGGACCAAAGTGTTTGTTTGGGGTCTGAATGACAAAGACCAGCTGGGAGGACTCAAAGGCTCAAAGGTGCAGTTTACTTCAAAAAAAGTTCAAGCTGTATGTTGGTTTTTTGTTTTTGTGTATCTCTGCCATGTAGGTTGAAAACTTATGGAGCATAAAGGGAAAAAATTACATCATTTTAAGTTCTTTTATTACATTCAAAGAAATCTTTTTAGCTAGTTTCAGGTGTTTTGTGAAATATGATATTTTTATGAAAACACATTTTTAATATGTTTGGCTTTGTTAAATGTTGAGTACATTTAGTTGTTTTTAGTAAAGAAAAAAAGTGAAAATCATTCATGTTTCTACAATAAAATTGATATGTAATGTGACTTTTTAATCTGTGTAAGCTGGTTGTGAAATATAGTTCATATTTTCGTCAGTGTTTACATCTGAGTATTAGCTAATGGTTCCAGATGTTGACTCCAGTAGCATTGTGTCTTTATTATTTGATGTTATTTGAATGGGACAGTGAATATTAATGAACGTACAATGTCGTAAATATACCGGATTTAGCAAAATGCTCATTTCCATGAATGGAAATGAGCATTTTCCATGAATGGAAATGAGCATTTTCCATGAATGGAAATGAGCATTTCCATTCATGGTCCCATAAAACAAACACCGTAGATACAAACATTCGTACAGTTTCATACATAAAAAATAGTACATTAGATTACTTCAAATAACTTTTGGTAGTTTGCAGTGTGCAGTTTGTCACAAATACTGATTAACTTTGTATCTAAGTCCTAAACGTTACCCCACCTTTTCCCCTTCACCAGTTTAGAAAATGTGCAGCAGCAGAAAACAGATATGTGAACTTGGAAAGCAGCAAACGACTTCTGTCTTCTTCACAGATTAAAGTGCCCTCCTTTTCTGAAACACTTTCTGCTCTCAATGTGGTGCAAGTGGCTGGTGGTTCCAAGAGTCTCTTTGCAGGTAACTTAATAAATAAATATATTTAAAACAATGTTTTATACAGAGGTTTATAGAAACTAAGTACATTTACTTCGTTATGGTACTTAAGTAGTTTTATTTTTTTTGAGGATTTGTAATTTTTACCAATAATTTTTTTAAATAGCTATTTTAACTTATATTTTGTTACATTTTAAAGCTAAACATGATACTTTTACTATTTTTCTTTAAAATGTAACACCTAGTTACTTGGTACAAATTAAATATGTTTGAGCTCATCATGAAAGATGTTTCTGCTCTAAAAAAGGAAGTGTTGAATTTACTCAACAAAGTCATGTCAGCTGGCTCCACTAAACCAAGCTGAGTAAACTGAGTAAAGATTATACAAATTTTGCTCAATTTACTCAGCCTGTCTTAGTTGAACCATTTTGGTTAAATTCAACAGTTTATTTCTTAGAGAGTGTGTAAAAGTACTTTTACTTTTACGTTCCCAATTTTTGTGAACAGTTTTATGATTTTTACTTGAGTAGTTTTCTCCATCAGTGAAATTTATTTTTACCAAAGTTATTTTTTGTTCATGTAATTTTACTTTTACTTAGTAATTTTTTTCAAGTACTTTATAGACCTCTTCTTTTATATAATGAGCTTTGTTTCTAACAGCTGCTTTTATTTTGCAGTGACTGTGGAGGGGAAGATTTACGCGTGTGGAGAGGCCACGAACGGCAGGCTGGGTCTGGGCCTGTCTAGTGGGACCATCCCAATCCCTCGTCAGATCACTGCACTCAGTAACTACGTGGTGAAGAAGGTGGCTGTGCATTCTGGCGGACGCCACGCCATGGCTCTGACTGTAGATGGGAAGGTCTTCTCCTGGGGCGAAGGAGACGACGGCAAACTGGGACATTTCAGTAGAATGTATGTTTGTTTGTTTATGGCTCATGTCAGACACTGGTCGGCTAATTCTGCTTTATTTTAGAGCTCTACAAAGTGTTTGACAATGAAACAAATATAGGCTTTAAAAAGCATAATTTGACAGATTACAGTATTATTTTTTACATCCGAATATTAGGGCCACACAACAAAATTATTATTTTTTTAATTATGAGAATAAAGTAATATAACAAGATTAAATTCATCATATAATGAGATTAAAGTCATAATATTATGAGAAAACTCAAACAAAGCAGACCAGCTATGCTCTGAACAGAGTCTCCACAACAATGACAACTTCCTATTTACTATAAAAATGAATTGAGCTTATAATGTATCTTTCTTCCTGGTTGCACCCCAGGAGGTGTTACCTTTTACGTCATATGTCAGAACGTAACTCATTTTGTTTAGGCTAAAGAAAGAACAAATGATAACACACACACACACACCAACTCTTTGTATAAAATACAATACTGAATATAATATTCAATTAATCAGTTACAAAATTTCCTCAATGTCATAATATTCTAGCCTTTACAAGAAAAAGCATGCAGTTATCACTGCATTAAAAGGAGGAATGTTGAGCAACTTCCGTAGAATGTTGAGCAAGAATGTTGAGCAACTTCCGTAGAATGTTGAGCAACTTCCGAACGGAAGTCTTTCCTTCAGAAAGACTTCCGTACGGCTTCGAGGCGATTCTGGTCCACCATCCGGCGTCTCAGGAGGGGGAAGCAGTGCAGCAC